CAATTCTAAGTCTTTTATAGTCGCGTAGATCCTAAATAGATAGATTTAGAAATATTCAGAATATATAATTTTAAATCTTTAATAGTTCTCCTCGCCAGAGATTTCAAATATATCATTTATCATGTCGATTTTTTTATATATTCTTCTATAAAGATCATTCCGTAATCTTAATTTAAATCATTTCGAAATTCCAATAATTTGCCTTGTTATTTCTCATAAATATTTGAAAATTTCTCAAAAATTAACGAATCCTAATATAGAATCGTCAAATATCTGAAATAAAAGAATTGACGATTTTTATAAAAGAATATTTCAAAAGATATCTTCTTGAAATCTTCGTATCTAATATTATCTCCAAAACCCTCAGAAATATTCAAATTCTCTTATAATAAAGATTCGAAAAGAATATTATGCCTAAATTTTTCTGAATTTAAAGAAAATATCTTAATATTCTATTCAAGATCATAAATCTATATATCATGATAAGAAATTTTAATAAATAGATTATTTCTTAGGTTTCATTTTTCAAATCATCTAAATTATGAATTCTCAAAATTAATGAGAATTCCTAATGATAGAATATATAGGGAATGATTTTATCAAATTTCATATCATTTAAAATCTATTTCATTTTCATAGTAAAAAATCTAATATAATCTTCTATTTCTGAAATCTATCAATTTAATTATTTATTCCTTCAAATCAAGATTTTTCGATATTATTTCTAAGAAGATATTCAATATTTTCCAGATTCATGAAATGAAGAAGAAGAATATAATTAATATTAAATGATATATATAATTAATATCATTCGAATAGAAAATTCATATTATATAGAGAAGATATAAATATATTAATTAGAGAATATATTCAAATAATATATTCGAATGTCAAGATATATATTTTCAAATCGAATATAGAAATAATTTCCAAAATGTTCATATATCAATCAAATTTGATATTTTTCTAATCGATTCCTATAAATTCAGAAATTCTTCAGAAAATATCTTATCATTAAATGATAGATATCTTCATATATAGAAATATATTTCTCAATTTTATAAAAAGAAAGATAATCAAATCTCATGAACGATGATTTTATTCTATTTATATTTCATTTTAGAAATTATATTTTCCGTAGGAATTTTCCGTAATGAATCTTTGCGAATATATATATATATTTTTTTTTTTTTGCCTCCAATTCTCGTATTTTTTACGCCTAAGCCTCGCGATTCATATCAACGAATATATTATGAAAATAACGACAGAGTCTCTTTCAACTAATCTTTTCATTTGAATCAATCAAAATCATATGATATCACGAAATTATATAAACGAAATTCTAATTAGATTGATAGATCAAATTTCATAAATATAATCATATTAAAATTTCAAATTCAAATTTCTACAGATTTCTTGCAAATATCATATATGCAAAAAAATCCTATGAATATTTCAATTATATTCTTAAGATTATTTCTTCTATTTCGTTTAACATTCGAAAAATATAGAAAAATAAAATACTACAAATTTCCGCGTCTTTCCATATATGTAAGAAATCATCTTTTTAGAATAAGATAGATTTGAATTTCTACGATGAAATTTCCAAAATTCAATTAATGCCAATTCCCGCTCGTATATTGATCTCCATCTCCTTCGCCCAACTATGCAAAAAAAAGACGAATCAGAATAAAGAAATATATTCATCTATGGGGAAAATATTTTTCTCTTATAGAAAATTATTGAATTAGATAATTCTTGGAAATATCTTTAAGATGGGTAGAAGTATTAATCCAAAGAAGATTTGCTAGATGATTGAATAGTTCTTTCCTTATCTGCTCCAATCTCTCTGATTCTCCTTGATTCCTGAGAGAGAGGGGGGGGGAGAGAGAAAGAGCTTCTTTTGCCGAATTCCGTCATCGGCGCGTGCGCGTCCTCAAGGCGAGAAGGCCACGCTTTCGATCTTTCCCTGGCCGCCCGGCTTTGGGCTTCGGACTTGGAGGTTAATGTAGACCCCTGATTAATAAATTCCTTCCTTTTAAGGGCTTTGATATTAGGATCCCTATGAGAATCCCTATTAAGGGGAGGGGGCTCATTAATCACGAGTCTGGGTTACCTTAAACTGGGGGTTTAGGATTACTTTAAATTGGGGCGGTTTAGGGTTTAGAGTTCAGGGGTTACCTTGAACTGGGTTACTGTGAAGGGACATAAATTAAGTTACCATAATATGGGTATACAGTAAATAATGGAGTTGCCTTATTATAGTATTTCTTTGAAAATTCCTTGATAGCAACCCTAGCCAAGCGCAAACTCTAGTCAGGATTAACGGCCTAGAACTTTCCCTCTCTCGTTCACCCAGACTTTCTTGCCCGAAAAAAGAGCTATGCGTTGGTCCATTCATGTCAGTTGGGCAGTTGCACTTAGGCTTCCTTGGATCAACAGCGGTACAAGCATCGGTTGAGCTTCCTTTTCAGAAGTTTAGGGTTTAGGGGTTTAGGATTTAGAAGCCTTGGAAACACTCCACACGCAATTCAGCCCCAACATCTGCTGGCACCTGGTGCCCGGAAATCACAACCTCGCAGTTGCCGCTTGTGACCTCAGCTTGTGGATCAGGGGAAGCTTTTCAGAAACCGCACAAACGGAAAATGACCTCTCCCAAATCGGGACTGCATGTTCAATGAGATGCCTTAGAAGGTTGACCTCCTATACCTGATTCCTTCTAGGGGTAGTATTTACAAAGCTGTCTACTCCTTAATGGGTTTTAAACAATGTAGATGCAGAAGCCAAATCGCGAACAACAATAAACCAGGGCCCACAATCGATGACTGTAAGCAGCAGCACAAAAACTCGGGGGGAGTGAGCCACGTGAGTACTATTGGTTTTGGTGGTTGAGCCAAATGAGAGCTGATTCTTCTTGTGAAGTAGGATACCTTGGGAACTGCCCCCCCTCACTAACAGTTGGATAATGAATATAATATGGTTATATATAGCCCTTAATAGGACCCCTAATATAGACTGTTACTGGGTGGGGGCAATACCCAAAGGATACCCGACAAGAGAAGAACATTATACTCTAGATGAAGGACTAAAGTACCTTAACCGTAAACCTACCTCCCTTTGCTCACTTCTTTCGAAGTCAAGGACTCCACCCTCAATTCTAAGAGCCCTAAACCCTAACCCTAAGCCCTAAGCCTTAAGCCCCGACAGGCCGCGGGTTCTTTGTAACGAACAACTGAGGTTGGCGCATCCCAGACTCGGGCTGTAGCGTCCTCGGTTTAGGATTCCAAGGTTTTTAGGGTTTAGGATTTAGGGTTCAGGGTGGGGTTTAGGGTTTATTGAAATTGTTTTTGGGTTTTGGGTTGCAGATTGCTGTGGTCGGGTTTTTTCTGTTTGACAAGGTTTTTGGAACTAGGATTTGAGAGTTTCGGGGCCAATGCTTAGGGTTTAGGATTCTTAAGGGGATGTGACATGTCAGCCCCTTTAATGGATGGCAAATCACATCGAAAAGGAAATGGACACTGAAATGGAAACTAAATTTCGATATGGGCTACCTAGGGTTTAACAAGGAGTTTTGATGACCCCAACCCCAAAAACATGGACCCCATGACTCTCACCTTGACAGATTTTAGTTTAGAGCTTGTAATTGAAGATGTGGGTGGTTGTGAAAATCATGGTCCCTTTTTAGATCCCTACTGTAATCTAGCACC